AGCGAGAAGGACCTCCGGAGTAAGATCAATACCGGACAAGAGTCTCAAAACCTCCTCATTATAGGGGTTGTGCGAACACCATCAATATCCATGCCCTTCAGGCTTGGATCAAGGTTGGTCGAACGCTGGTCAGAAAAATGAACGAAGAAAAAAGATCCGAAAACCATGAGTAAACCATCCCCCAACACAACACGACACAAGACGGCATTGCCACAAAGGAACATGAGTGAACTCCTCAGAACACGCACATCTAATTAATCCCGGCGAAACACAGCCCATCTGCTACACCAGGGCAAGCCTGGCCCACGAAGGCTGCAGCACATCTGTACAGCAATAACGCACAGACCTCAACGCGCGCAAGAGGATGCCTACAAAAACCATTCAAATGCATACACCGCAATAACCATAAACAAAACACTCCCCAGCATCCTCGTACTCCAAGAAAGCACGATGCATTTCTCCAAGCGAATCGCACCACGCGCGAATTGAATCAGTGCCGGCCGACCCCATGTCATACAGCACCGGCTATTGCAACCTAACTAAGATCCCAAGGTTTTAGGGGAGAAATAGATGATGGGTTGGGATGCGCAGTTGTGAACATTGCGCAAGTCTTCTAGTACAGAGTCTTGACTTTGCGCCCTTACTATTCTCCAACTGCCAGAATTTTAATTGTAGCTTAGTTGTGTTTATAATCTGCCTACCTTTATGTCAGGACTGTAGATAAAGGAATTTGCTAGTATCCTTGAACAAAGAAGTACAAAATCTTAGGTTGAGATGTCGGATGTGAAAAAGCTCTTAGGAGAAAGAGGAAGCAATTAAAGGCAAGGAGCCAAGCTAAGCTAAAAGTATTGAACAATCAAATAGCCGTAGTAAACACTCAGCTTCCACAATTAAACCTTCTTGGGAAAATCAAATTACGAATCTCCTACTCAAATCCTTGAACAACAAATCAGTTTAAGAATCTCTTAACAAATCCTTCAAGTCCTTCCAAAACCTTAGTTGCGCAAGTGGCACACTGTCTCGTGATCCGCAACCCGTGCCACAGCACCTCACGGATCGCGCGGTTGAGCATGGCACGCTGCTAAATGGGACGCCTGACGCGCGCCGACCCGGAACAGCGGAGTACATCCTACAGATCCGGGACGCTGCGAATTTCTGGAACAAGTCACAGGAAAAGGATCGCCGAACCAACGAACCAACGGGCCGTCGAATCATCGAATCAACGGACGAGTGGACCAGTGGACCGGCGTGCCCGCTGAGCCGGTGGTCCGCTGACTCATCCAGCTGGGTGTGATGGCCTGCAAGTAAGAATCCAAATTCGTTGCACAACGGTCCAAATGCAGAAAGTGTACGCGAAGCTGATTTTGGTCTGGCCGCCAGGTTTAAGGCTGACACGCAAGGCTTGTCCTCGTCACCTTTGCCTGTTCTGTGTCTCTTGGCGACACTGTGGCATGGCTCACACATGGGCGGCACGGTCGCGTGAAATGGGCTGACAAAAAACAAAAATATGCGCCGCATGATCAGTGTTGATGTGCTTTCTGCAAAATTCGCGCCGCTCGAGCCCACTCCACGGTCGCGGAATCATAGGTTTCAAGGGTGCCGCTCAAAACAGATACGAGTAAACATCGATACCCGAGGGTCAAGCATCGGTTCAACCGATCATCGGATCATCGGGTCAGCTCTTCAGATCATCGGATCTGATGGAAGCGCCGCCGTCTCACAACGAGGCGTGTGGGACATGATGAAAGAAGGCGGCGACAGCACGTCCAGCGCTCAAACACAGAAGCCAGCGCGTGTTGCGCTTTTGCTGCAGCTGCACGAACAGTTAGCTTTCCCCCGCCGTGTTCAAAATGCCACTTACTCCTTCTTGCAGAATTACGGCAGCTCTTACAACAACGTTGCATGGAGTGCGACGCCATGTTCAGCGGGTGCGACTTGAGCGTCTTCCAATGCGATATCGCAATAAGAGTTATCAGAAGCACAACATGCTACAGTGGCACAACTACAGGGTTGAGTCAGGCAGTCATGTCGTCATCTACCCGGTTAAACTCCGGTGTTTGACGCCCGCTGCATCGTTTGGCTTCTCCGCAGCCTGGCTGACGCAATTCCATTCCGGACTGGTGCGGCAGCACAGAAGTTCTGTTAGCGAGAGCAATATGGTTTGGGAGCTGGCCAACGAAAGCCCGCTGCCAACTGCATGACTCCCTCTCTTGCTCAGCAAGGGCTGGTTCAAGTGGCGTTTCTTCCTAAATCAGCTACGTGCTGCCCTCCATCGACTTGCTCCAGTGTCGCTAGCCTTCCGAGCAGTCTTGTGATGGACGGGATGCCGAGAACAAAAGGGCGGCTTGCGTTCAACGCTGTCAGGATTGTTGGCTTCACGCCTTTAATAACTGCCCACGCACCAGTCCTGAGCAAGAGCTTTTGCTTCCCCACTTCTCACCCAGCCCGGGCACCAGCCAGACCTCAAGCAGGTCACGAGTTCTGGCAATCTTCTTAGCAACCCAAGCTCAAGGTGGCAAGGTTCAAACCAGCGGGGCAGAGAGAGGGAACGCTGCCAAGCGGATCACACTATCCGCGGACCAGCACCATCGGTCCGATGATCCGCCGCGCTGGTCCAATGTCATCGCATCGTCGGAGCGGGAGCACCGGCGCTAGATGTAGCAGCCCCACGATCAGAAGTCAGTATTCACGCCTTGGCCCCGGCGATCATGTTGGAACTGCCTCCATTGGGTGTTGCGCCGCTTCCTCTTTGCCGCCGGTGTTCTGCTCCGTTCGTAGCTGCGTTTCCCCTTGTTTAAATCCCGTTTCGCAACCACAAGCAGCGCAAGCCCCAACATACTACGCAGAATATGCTTTATCTGTGTTGATCCATGGCTGCACCCTGCCTTTGCGCCCGTGTCTCTGTCTATGCAAGTGATACATTCAAACAGCATCATGCTCAAGTGGTTCATTCAAACGAGTTCACAAGTGTTTCTTCTCTCAGCTTGTCTGTCACCAACTGCGCGCAAAACCGCGCTCCACGCAGCCTGATCCGGCGACCGTGCGGCCTGAGCCAGCACGCGCGGTGACCTTTCGGCAGGATCGTCGAGGCTGCTTTGCTGCAAAGTCGACGAAGCCAAGCCAGCTTTCGCTGCTGCGAAACGAACACGCGGCCTGACCCGTCACACGGAGATGTTTTTGGATCGTCGAGGCTGCTTTGCTGCAAAGTCGAAGAAGCCAAGCCAACTTTCGCTGCTGCGAAACGAACACGCGGCCTGACCCGGCACACGGAGATGTTTTTGGCCTTGACCATCTCTCCAAATAATCAATCCATCTAATCTATACATCTGTCTATTCCTGTCGATCTATGTATCGATCTTTCCATACCCCATCAACCGATCTACCTACTGAAACCTTGCTTCGGTTTTTGAAACTATGTGTTGCTCTCTCGATCTCTGATCACTTGGTTCTTTCTTTCTTTCTACGTATCTGCGCTAGCTATCTATCTGCCCATTTGTCTATGTTCCCTCTCTGTCTATCTATCTATCTTGTCTCTCTGTAAATCTATCTACTTATGTACATATTTGTCTGTTTTATATCTCTCCCTATATTCTATCCATCCATCCATCGATCCATCCACCCACCCACCCACCCACCCACCCACCCATCCATCCATCTACCACATCTACCTATCTATCTAGCGATTCAACTCTCTCCCTCTCTTCTCCACCATGCTAAGGGATATCTATTTATCTTTGTGTCTAGTTCTATACGCATCATCCATTTATCAAACCTTGTTTAATCATTCTGCCACGAAATCTGTACTTGACCTTGCGAAAGCGCCGCCTGCCACGACATTTGTGCATGAGATTGTTGCGAAAGCGCCACGCCTATCACGTAACTCCAACCTTGCGAAAACTTGACATTGCCCATCACGAAACCTGTGCCTGACCTTGCGAAAGCGCTGCGCCTGCCACGCAGTTCCAACCTTACGAAACATCCGCGTGCGGATTTTCTCACGAGCTTCTTCATTCCCTTGTCATCTGTCTCCGAGAACTAGCTTTCAAATAGTTGCCATAACAAGGCAGTTCTTTCTAAACTTTCCTTAAGTAAACAGCATTACACAAAATACCTCAAATGCAAACCTTGACAAGATATAAGTAATAAATTTATATTTTAATCAACATATGTATTTAACATACAAGATCATACCCATACACACTTTAACCTTTAAAGTATCTTTCAAACAAAACATTGAGAACAAAACCTAACCAGCCCATAAGATCCAGCGCCGGTAATTTCTATCAGTTCCAAATCCACGTCAAAAGTAAAAAACAATTCTAACCCAACTCTTGACTCCCAACGCTCGAGTCGCGCCTCTCAACTCCGCAGCTGGGCAGCGCGCTGGGGTGGAGTCGAGGCGCTCGAGCACATAGGAAGACGGTTCGAAGCCGTGCAGCCAATGCAAACTAAACTAGACTCAAAGACATCAACGGTTTTCGGCTCTCGACTCTTAGCACGCAACTCCCAAATCTCAAGATTCTACTCGCGACTCTCGGCCTGCGACGCTCGCTTTTTCTTCTGGCCCTATTCAAAGACCGAACCGAGTCCAAAATGTTGCTTCTCAAAATAGTGCACATCCTCAACGCGTGGTATTCAATCCTGAAATCTCACTGAAGGAATCTCACTGAAGGAATCCTACTGAAACAGCAATTCCCTTTGTGCACTAGAAGCAACGCAGGAGCAAAGCTGGCTAGAGAGTTGGCTTCATAAGTCGTACCATTTGGTATCTGGCTGCTCTGCTCTTGCGTGAACGCTGATGATTCTGAAATGTCAGCATTAGATAAATTGATACGCGGGCTATGGACAGAGGCACGGCGCAACGCCACGCAGGCCAGGACCCAGAGAACAAACAGGACAAATCATAGAACAGTGCATCAACCTTCCTCTTCCACTCTCTCTCCCTCTCTGCGTGGACAATCATGTTGCAGCACGGCGCTGCTCAAACCACTGCGTAACGTTCAAACATCGTGCGAGAACCGGCATTCATCTCCAAACTTGCAAGAGCCGTTGTCACCTCAGCGGTTGTCAAAGCCGCCAGCAGCAGACGCGCAGCAACTAAGCCGGGCATTTAACCCAGAAAGATTGTTGAGAGGCCGTGCTGCCAAATGCAAATAGACTGGGTCGCAACAATGTTATTCTTGCGCATTCTACTTTCAATGGCTCGGGCGCCCGCGGAAGTCATAGCAAATGCCCTTGCCGCCACCTGACTGTGACAACCAAGGTTGCTTGCTGCTAGCATTGTCTTTCGTCTATGCGACGCCACTCACGCGTCTATTAAATCAAGGACCCATTAACTACGAGATCCAGTGCCAGCTATTGTTTATGTCCTCTAGTTTATTTACATCCGTGTCTTCATGCCGGCAGAACGTTTAGGCCAGTGAGACAGGTTCAGACTTTGTGCAAAAGGACCCTGCCTTTGCCCTTGCCCTTGCCGCCCTTCTTGCCACCCTCCGGGCAGTCTCGCGCGAAATGGGGACCTCCGCCTCAGTGGCACACGTGAAGGCCTGCAAGGTCACAGCCAGCCCGCGTTGCACTAGCCGGCAATCAGCCGCACTGTTGGTTGAACCATTTTGGCGCCCCCTCTTCTTGGTTTGGGTTTGTGATAGCGACTTGCGTGAACTGCTAAATTTCTATGACGTTCAGTCCGAAACCTCAAGCAGCTCGCCATCATGCAACAACTGAAAGACAGGGAACTCTGTTCAGCTAGGGCCATGGCAATTGAAGCAATCCACGCTCTTGCCGCCACCCTTTCCACCAATCTTGCCTGCCCAAGTACATCTCCTGCTTGCTTTAGTAGGGTCGCTTCGGCCGTGCATCCTGGTCATGTTGCTAGCATTTTTCAGTCCCCAAAATCGATCCTGGGTAGGGGTCCGCCAACAACTCGCGGAAAACAAAACAGCCCCTATCCATAGTGTTTGTGTCTCAACCTGAAGTAGCCGAATCTGTCTTGGCTCACATTGGCAAGCTCACGATCGCCTGTGGGCTGAATTCAAACTACAACAAGCAAAAGGGGGGGCAACCAAACCACAAACCAACACAAAAAGCAACGCTTCTTTGTTCGAGCATCTCAAGGCCTTCAGGGCATGTCGTGGGAAATCTGTGCAATTCTCACAGCTCGGGTCTTAAAGCTTCCTCGATTCTCAAACATTGCGCTGGGTTGAAGTCATAATCATTGTCATGGCCCTTCAGCTGGGCCACTGCCCACTCACCTCACAGACTCCATGAAGTTGCCCTGCCTCAAGCAGAGGAAGTGAGCGCCACATGGATGAGTACATCGCGAATGGAGCCGGTGACATTGAGCACCGTCTATGGCAAGCAATGACATGGTCACCCAGCTCATTACTTGCCCGGCGTGTGTGGTCATCCACTCGCAGATCGTTTGAAAGGTTGCGCCGAAATGCATCGTCTTCGCTGCTGTGTGAGACCACCAGCTTTCCACGGGCCTCCATCAAGTTCTCAACCTTGCCGAGCTTCAGCTTTCCCTCAAGGGTTGCCTGTTTTTTCTTGATGACGGGCGCCTCAACTTCCACGATGTTGTCGACTTCGATGACCATGTCGCCTTCGTTCGGTGGATGAGCTGGTTGCTCGCCCGGCTCGTTCTTCACAGGCTTCCGGGCCGCAGCGTCAGCACGTGCTTGTCGTGTGGGGCGAGCACGTCCCCCAGAGTTTTCGCGCACAGCTTCAGCAACGATCGCCTGACCCGACGCCTTGAGCCCAAGCCGGGTAGCGCTTCGTTTCTGGTCGGCGACGGGGTGATTTCCGCCCGGTTGACAGACCTTGTAGAAACACGCCCGCGCATCCTTGACTTTGCTCAGCGCTTGACTTTTTAGCTCGTGGGTTTGCGGATCCTGCCATTGCATGGCCCCCTTCTTGTGCGCCTTGGTCGCCTCCGTTGGGTCTGCACCTATCCACACAGCGCGAATCGATCACCCGCTTGGATTTTCGGCCAACTCGACTCCTTGATGGTCAGCACCTTCACTGCGCCGCTTCTCCTTGCCACCCAGGTTCCTGCAGGCCACTTTGGCCAAAAGATGTCTTGGCCTTGGCCACGTGCATCCATAGGTTGCCTCTGTGCATTAGGGCAGGGAACGCCTGGTTTGCGGGGAGAGGTGGAAGAACTCCTCGCCGTTGCTGCTGTTGCTTCCAAGGAGGTTCCGGAGCAGGCAGAGCTGGCCTTGGCGCTTGACGGGGACAAACGACCTTCGTCCCGCAAACCTTCGTCAACTCGAGCGGTCCTGGTTGTAGGAGGAGATGCCGACACAGGAACAGCACCATCTTCGCCCAGGGTTGGTAATTCATGAGGTCTCGTGGCCCTTGAAGGTGATTAGTGGTTGGTGCTGGTAGTGCGTGAGTAATCTCTTCTCTGAAAACTCTTTGTCCCACAAGATTGAGTTGGACGCCTGTCCAGTCAGTTGGGCCTTGAGGCCAGTGACTTTCGTTGCCTTGAGGCCGGCTGTTGGTGAAGCATTGGGGCCAGCAAGGTTTGGCAACCTGCTGGCTTTGGGGCTGCCTCGAGGCTGGTGGACATGGCTCAACTCTCGGCCTGCATGCTGTCCTGGATGTCATCCAAAGGACTCGCAGCCTTGGGTTCTCCGGCAGATCAGACACCTGCTTCGCCGAGTGTCCATCTTGTACCGCCGGAGGTGGCTGAACTTGTCCCTCGCCAGAGATCCTCTGTTGCGTGGCGAAGTCGCTCCACCAAGATCTCTCCATGTCGGACTGCGCCAGGACGGCCTCTGGTCCAGCGCAACCTCGATAATTGGGCAAGTCCCTGCAGATGTCCTCCCCGCCGATGTCTTGTTGGCGAAGCCAGGCTTGGAGAGCTGCGCCTCGGATTTCCCACCCTCGCCAAACCTGGTCAGCTGCGCACGCGTCGGTAACGCGAGGCTAGGAGCCTTCCCGAACACCCCGACCATGAAGACCGCAGCATGGATTTTTCGGCGGGGGTTGATCCCCGCGATCGTTGATCTTGACGGGGTTGCCCTTGCAAACGGCCATGATTGTTTCTCCCGGGAAAGACATTGTGTAGAACTTGCGGTTCTCAAACGTCTTGTGGGAGAACATGTTGGCCACGGGGTCCCAGGTTCGCCGTCATCTTGGCTGAGCCGTCTTGGCGCTTAGAGCTTGACGTCGTCTTCGCGACGTTGAGCCTTTCTTCAGCTCTTCTGACAGTGACCGTTTGCCACAGAAGTCGGTCACGGGAATGGCCCAGGAGAGCGACGGCGAGGGCAATCTCACGCAGCCCTAACTTTGACCCTAATCAGGAGTACAGCAAGGAGGATGCCAGTCTTGCGCAGGCCTACAACATGGCCTGCCAGGATGTGCGAAAGGAGCCCCAGGCAAGACGGCTTCCAGTTCTTCCAAGCCGAAGGGCAGCCCGAAGGGTGCGAAGAACAAGTTCTACAAGGGTGGCTCGAAGTCATCCAAAAACGGCAAAGAGGGTGTCGGATGATTTGGCGAGGACTCGTGTCATCGTGGTCCTCCTGAGGGGGCCGTCGATTGCGTCTTGCTGCGGTGGTTTCTAAAATTCACCGCGCAAAGGTTCTGTTGACCCTCTGCGTCAGCGCATCCGTCCGATCAAGACGTTGAAGAGCAGCAGCCACCTCCCCAAAGCTCACAGGTTCTCCTGCCTCAGAAGCAGCCTGCCCGCAATCTTCTCCGGCCGGCTCCTCCACATGAGGTCCCATCTCCCTGGCGCAGTACGTCCTTGGCCGCGATGAAGGAAAGGCTTGTACTTCGGAGGGATCAGGAAAGGATTGGGGGAGCTTGATGCCAGTTCAACGGGATTGGTGCCTGCGACGCGCTGCCTCGATGGCGAGGATGGTGGGCGCCGTAGCCGGTGTAGTGGATGAAGGTTCGGGCTCGCCTGCTGGACCCACATTCGCGTTTTTCCTGCCGAGTGAAAGCGCGGTTGAACCTGACGCGGGTGGAGCCATTGGCAAAGTCCTGGATGTGGCGCTGGTGGCAAAATCCCCGATGCGCATGGAGCCACTGAAGGGAGCCGGCACAGCAGGGCATGTTTGGATAGAATGAGGTTTGGCCTCCCAAAGGCGCTCTCATCGGATTGGGCGCTATTCCCAGCAGCGGCCAGCTGACACTGGGCTACATGCCCGCACGTCCGTGCGAAAGTTGGACCCCCGAGCCAGAGCACCCTGACCCGCAGGAGACCTTGCCGGAATGCCTGCCACGGGTCCTGCTGGAGCCAGGGGTGCATGGCTGTCGGTCTAAACCGGCCCTGCTGCCACTGTGTGCGGAGCGGCAATCCAACCAGAAACCAAGACGAGAAGCAACGCTTCTTTGATCAAGGAGCTCAAGGTCTCCAGGGCATGTCGCGGGAAACTTTCGCAAGAGTTCAGCAGAGCCAAGTACTGAGCCTCTTTTCAGCTGGTCTTGAAGCAGACTAGCCTCCTGTCGGGCAATCCCGAGCAAGATGGTCGCCGCCACAGTTCCAGCAGTCCTTGCCTCGCGCAAGATGCGGGCCACATTTCTTTCTGTGATACCATTTTGTAGTCGATTCTCACCCGGAAAGGGATTCACCAAAAGAATGCCCAGGCAACGACACTCTGAACCTCTGCGCCAATGACTCGCTCGAGTCGCCGGCCCTGGGGCTCCGAATGCCCACTGCGAGCCGGCAGGGTCTTAACTTATCCATGTACGAAAGGCGGCAGGGTTGTTCGGACCACAGTGTTGGATCCTTGCGCCCTTACACCACTCGTCGGACTTTCTACGGAAGTTCTCTGGGGCTCCGGGCCACCCTTCTTGCCCTTGCCCTTGCCCTTGCCACCCTCGGGGCAGTCCCGCGCGAAGTGGTCGCCGCCGCAATTGAAGCACTCCACTGGACCTCCATTTGCTCAGAAGATGCTCACAATCAGTTCGGGGCATTTCGCCTTGTGAACGCTCCGATCTGATTGAGGTCTATCCCGATTCCTGGCCTCCCATGGCGCTGAACCGTGAAAATGCCGGTAGAACTCTGCAGACTGGAGCCGAATTCTTCAGACAGTTGGGCCGGGCTTGGCATGTTTCATGATGACTCAAGTCCCTCGTGCAGTTGCTTTGTGTGACTGCTTCTGCATCGCACCAACTCCCGAAGACTGCCAGCCAGTCATGGGATAAGCTCACAATTTTCTCAAACCCACAGGAGTGGCAACTGGGCGCGCCGAGTGTACCTTTGGGTTGCTCATGGTAGCTCCGAAGGGAAACGGAACTGAGTTAGTGGGTTCCCAAATCTTTTCTCCTCTCTTGCGCAAAAAAACGAGCGTTGCTTTCCAAGCCTAAAAGGCACGAATGGGCTCCCTCTTGTTCATACGGGAACGGCAAGTGCGGCTGACACTGGAGCTGACGCATATGTCGATGCAGCCGCAGCAATGTAGCTCTGCGCGCTTCTTGAAGCAGTGCCGGATTGGAGGAGCAAAGAACCATGGCAAACATCAAAACACCAAAATCACCAGCTCCTTCCTTGTTGAAAGATCACTCGCAAAATTAGATATTAGATAGAGTAGCAAATGATTTCGCAGTGACGGCTGCACATCGGAAGAGGGGAACCAAAAGAAACATTGAAACGCGTCCAACCACTCAAATGCTGGCCGCTTGTGAACAACATGCTTGCCTTTGATGTGAGCAGCCATGAACTTTGCCAGCGTCTCCGCGAACGTCTCTGGTCACAGAGCAAGCAGTGATACCCAGCATGGGTGCATCAAACGTTCGCTGGTGTGTGTTTGCTTTACTCTCAGAGTGTCTGGGCATTATGAAACTGCTGTCCTGCATGAGAGAAACTCTCTATCTCTCTCGCTTCAAGCTTCGTGCGAGAATCGGCATTCATCTCCAAACTTGCAAGAGCCGTTGTCACCTCAGTTGTTGTCAAAACCGCCAGCTAGCAGACGCGGTGCAACGCAACAATGTAATTCTTGCACATTCTACTTTCAATGGCTCGGGCGCCCGCGGAAGTCATAGCAAATGCCCTTGCCGCCACCTCACTGTGACAACCAAGGTTGCGTGCTGCTAGCATTGTCTTTTGTCTATGCGATGCCACTCATGCGTCTATTAAATCAAGGGCCCATTAACGGGGTACGAAATCAAGCGCCAGCTATCGTTCATGTCCTCTAGTTTATTTGCAGCCGTCTCTTCATGCCGCCAGAACGTTTAGGCCAGTGAGACAGGTTCAGACTTTGTGCAAAAGGACCCTGCCTTTGCCCTTGCCCTTGCCGCCCTTCTTGCCACCCTCCGGGCAGTCTCGCGCGAAATGGGGACCTCCGCCTCAGTGGCACACGTGAAGGCCTGCAAGGTCACAGCCAGCCCGCGTTGCACTAGCCGGCAATCAGCCGCACTGTTGGTTGAACCATTTGTGGCGCCCCCTCTTGGTTTGGGCTTGTGATAGCGACTTGCGTGAACTGCTAAATTTCTATGACGTTCAGTCCGAAAACTCAAGCAGCTCGCCATCATGCAACAACTTAAAGACAGAGGCTCTGTTCAGCTAAGGCCATGGCAATTGAAGCAATCCACGTTCTTGCCGCCACCCTTTCCGCCAATCTTGCCTGCCCGGTACATCTCCTGCTTGCTTTGGTAGGGTCGCTTAGGCTGAGGATCTTAGTCATGTCGCTAGCATTTTTCAGTCACGATTTCAGGGCCCGCCAACAACTTGCGGAAAACAAAAGAAAATGGCCTTCTTGACATCCGCAGCAATCATACACCAGCCCTTGGCTGGTCTTGCAGTCTTAATTGTGTATCACTTGACAGCGTCAAGCTCGCAATCTGATGTTGAATCCCCCGAGCGCACGTGTAGCGCACAAACATGCACTTTGGCAGCTCCTACCTGGAAACCGTGTTTGTCAGCGAAGTGCAGAGCGCAGAATTTAGTTCTGAAGCTCCAGCTCGGAATCACAACTTTTGTACTAACGTAAAACGTCCAGTGCACTTTTGGCAGCTCGATCACAAAAATCATCATATCGGCAGCTCCAGCTCAACAACTGCAACTTCAGGCACACGTGTTGCATGCAAAGTAAACTTACTTCGCAAGCTCTAGCTCAAAAGTTGTATTTTCCTTACAAGCGAAGCATGCAGGGTGCACTTTGGCAGCTCCGGTCGGAATCGCAACTTCTCAGTACCAGCGCTGCACGCAAAGTACACTGTGGCAGCTCCCAAATTGAGTATCGCACCAGTGCAAGCGCAGTACACACTGCGCGCTTATATTTTTGGAGCGCAACCGTGCCAGGCAAAGGAACACTTGGGTAGCTTCAGGTCCAAAAGCGCAACCCTTGTCAGGACAAGAGTGCGCAAAAGTAGACTTTGGCAGCTCTAGCCGAACATCGCAGTTTTCAAGATGAGGTAGGGTTTGGCTTCCCTATTAGGGCCTTCCTTTCTTGGATGGCGATTGCGGGTAGCTTGGCTCGTTGTCAAGGTCAATGAACGCCTGAGAAAAACATAAAGCCATGTAGAGGACGCAACCTGCAAGGTGCGACCTGGCCGCTCACAGCTACGTGCTGTGACAGCTGACAACTAGCGGTTTGGGGTCAAACTGCAGCACCTCTGGAATCAGACATGGAAATCCACCAATAGTGTTTGGGGAACGCGATCCAGTGTGGTGGGATGGTGGTCTGGTCAACGTGCTGTTGTAAACAATAACCGCCCCCCAAAATATCATCATGAAGCAAAAGACAACCCAGCTACCTCCTACTTCGAGACAACACCACCCGCCGCACGACGGTTGCTGCCGTTGTACCGCACCTGGCTTAGGGTGTCACTGTGGCGTTGCCTCAAAAATAGGAAACTAAAAACTGGCTAGCTTCCTTTTGCCTTGCCTTTCTTGACTTGAGCTTCAGGCCCAAGGTCTTACGTCTCCGAGGGCGCCTCCTGTGGGGCAGTCACGGGCAATGTGATCACCGCCGCAATTCCAGCAGCCACTATCCTTGCCTGTGGGCTTGCAAGGCGCGGCAATCCAGAATGCTGATTGTTGGCACTTTCAAGACAGCTCGGTCCTTCATAAACAACAAGCAAGAAACGGCCGGCAGTTGCCCATAAAGGCACCCGAGCCAAAAGCAGGAATGCTAGCTTGGGACGGGTCACATACCTTGAATGGTTGCCATTGAACCTCCATTTTGCTGTTAGATTTGCCCGCCAGAGGCAGCCCCACAAAAACTGCAATGTCTCTGCCACAGAACCATACAAAAAAATCAGTGGTTAGCCAGTCTAGCGGCGGCGGCGCGCACACCAGCAAAGCACTCATTTTAGACTTCTCGTTTCCTGCCAGGTCCCAGCGTTGGGCGCTGACAGCTGAACGAAAGCTTAGTTTTGGTGGAGACCACTTCTAGGTGCTCGGATTCTTTTTGCTTTCGCAGGGGAGCTCGGACCACGAGACAGGGCCGGCCCTTAAAACCTGAAACGTGCCTTTGCAGTACGAAAGGCGGCAGGGTTGTTTGGACCACAGTGTCGGATCCTTGCGCCCTTACACCACTCGTCGGACTTTCTACGAAAGTTCTCTGGGGCTCCGGGCCACCCTTCTTGCCCTTGCCCTTGCCCTTGCCACCCTCGGGGCAGTCCCGCGCGAAGTGGTCGCCGCCGCAATTGAAGCATTCCACTGGGCCTCCAGTTCGCGTGCGCCCTCGCGCGCCCCGTCAAGGAATTTAGAAGGAAGCTAATTGAGGGTACCTTTGCACAAATGTAATGAAGACAGAACACATGCTTGGCTGTGTGGTGCGGCAACAGAAGCGCCGAAAAAAGTAGCCCTTTGTGGGCTTTTGCGTCTCCAGCACGCTGCAAGCTACCTCCGTCGCGACGCCTGATCGGAAATGCGTGTGGATGGTTGCGAAACGGGCGTGCACCCATTGGCGCGGACGCACGCTTTCGCGACGACTGTGAGAGCGAGGTGCAGATTGCGCGGCAGGCGTTGCAAGATGCTAGATTGGCGAGCAGACTGCGTGGCAGGCGCTACACTTTGGCAGCCTGACTTGCAGATTTCGTGGCGGGCGCAGCACTTTCGCCAGACTGGGCGCAGTCTTCATGGCAGGCGCAACGCATTCGCAAAGTTGGGTACAGATTTTGTGGCAGCGCAGCGCTTTTGCAAGGTCAGGGACCGGTTCTGTGGCTTTCGCAACGGATTTCTTGGCAGCGTTTGCAGAAGATAGAAGAATAGACAGCCAAAAGGTCGTCTTGGTAGATAGACTACTTACTGTGTACATATGCTACCCCCTAATGTTTTTTGCGGTTTGAAGGCTATTTCGGAGATGGAATGCTGTTGTTTCATTTGGAATGCCTCATGCGACTTGACCAGCATTAGCTCACCCTAAGCAAGGAACCCCCCTCAAAATCTAATTTGAAATAACAAATTCCCATTAGGTGTTTTTGCTGACAAGTAAATCCTATTTAATTTATCTTTGAAGTCAGCAATTCCATTTAAGCCTAAATAACAAGTAGAGGAACAATTTCCCGGGAAAGGGCGTTCTTTGTAACATATATTTTTAATAAGAACCCCAATTAACAATGGTTTCCAAGATGGAAATCCTATTCCAATCATCCTTGAGTCTAGAAATATATAACAGTTGTTCACTTTCAATTTTGATTTAAGTTCTAAGTGGCAAACTGAACAACCCATCTTGGAAAAACGTTCTGCTGAACATCTAAGTTTGCATAAGGGTTCCAATCTTCCCTCCCGCGATCTCAGGGTGTCAGAAGCCACCCTCCACTTGTATCTCTAAACTAGAAACTCTTATTGGTTGGTGTTCCTTAATCAACTCAAACTCCATTTCAATTCTAATTAGAAAATTGAACGTATATAATCCTAGAAAAAACCATTTAAAATGATCTTTCCAAATCTATCTTGAGACAAGAATTCTGATTGCTTTTTCCTTGTGTCTTTAACCCTTACCAAATGCTTCGCATTCCATGCAAACAACCATAAAACAGCATAACACAGTAGTAAGTTTGATTGAAACAAAAGCATGTTTCCAATGAAATTTCTTGAGCAAACGTCTACGAGAAATAAGTCCGACTCCTACAGGCGCGAGTCAATAAACCCAAAACCCTACAGCTTGTCCGCTCTAAGCTGAGGTTTAGCAGCAGCTATGTGGGAGCCAATGGACCAAAAGCACCGCGTGGCAGCCCTACCATCCAAAAAACACTTTTGCTCTCAAAAAACGCGTTTGGCACGAGGCTTTATCAAAAAACACATCCCCGCGTCGCAGCAGTTTCATCGAAAGAACTGTGACCCCTGCCAGCCAAAAAACAAAATAGTGAACGGCGCCGCGACGAGACGCACGTGCCAGCGCGAACCTCCATTTCTTGCGAGACTGTCGCGCCGAAGACAACTTTACGCACTCGGACCTAGCGCAAACCTGGCGCGAACCTCGGTCTAAACCGGCCTTAACTCTTACCGTAAGAACCCCTTAGTGTCAACACTATTCGGTGAAAGCAGCCAAAAATAGTAAAATTATAGAGCTGGTAGCCCAAAAGTAAAAGCGTAAAGTTCTGGAGCCAATGGCCAAAAAGTAGAGAGTAACAAAGCAAAAGCAAATGGAGCCAATGACCCACATGTCAAAAGAGTAACTTTCTGGAGCCAGCGACCCAGCGAGTAAAAAACGTGGATAAGTAAAAGTACATTTCTGGAGCCAAAAGGATAAATTAAAAATTAAAACTCAGCGCACGGTCCTGGAGTAAAATGCTTTGACCATGGGCTGAAACATTTTACTTTTTAATTTGATAATTCTGTACTTTTATTACTTTGTTTCCCTTTGTACTTTTTTGCTTTTTACGCTTCTACTTTTGAGTCATTGGCTTCAGGATTTTACTTTTACTTTTGGGTCATTCTTGACATTGTGACTTTTGGGCCAATTGCTCCAACATGGCTATTGTTTGTCCTTTTCTCACAAAAACTCAGCTTAGAAATGCGCAGAGGTAGACTCAAACTAAAGCTTGGCCTAAAGCTTTGGGTTGGCTCCGCGCTTCATCCGGCTACAAGGCAAGGTTGAGCGCTGCGTGTTATCTAAATTAAACGCAGCCCGCGCAAAATCATTTACACGCGCGGGCGTCGTTGTTCCTACCCATCTCACCAGGCAGATCCGGGGGCCTCGCATCTGTGGGTGAAGGTTGATGCGCCCTTCCGTTGTAGGGTGAGGAGGGCCTTTGTGGCGATGTTTGGAGGACACAAACGCTTGCGCTGTCTACTTGAGTGAGACGCTGAATTGCTGGTGCACAAAACTCGGGCCTCTCAACCTGACCGCTGTCTAGGGCCCTAGAGCCTTGGCAGTTGGAAGAAAAAAAGTGCGCGTCAGCCTTTGCCACGTTTAGGGCCCGTTCACCACTTGTGTCGTGGGGCTCTGCGCTGGTGGGATCTGCAGGGCTGTGGCTGCTAGGGTGTAGCGGGGCATGCCCTTGCCGGCTGTGCTTCGGCTGCGCTGGCTGGTCCAGGGCTGTGGCTGCCGGGCTATAGCTACTCTACTTAATGGGTTCAGAAAAGCCTTTTTCAACACAAGTTGTTTATGAAAGCGCGGCAGCATCAACGTTTTGGCAAGAGCCTTTTGGTTTATTGCGTGTCTTTTGATTAAAACGTCGCTGCGCCTGTGTTGCGGGAAGCGCATGTGGCAAAGACCCTCCGAAAACAGACACGCCTGAAAAGGGTCCCCAGCATCACAAGCAAAGCGCTCGTAGGAGCCTCGAGCCCAACGTCACGATTGAACCCTATATAGAAAAGAGATGGAGCAACATCCCCGGCGTTGCGCGCACGCCTCAAGCCTCACAGGCAGGTTTCGAGCCGGAAATTGCTCCCAATAGGGCCCGTGTGTCTGTAAATTTGCCCGCGTGTCTGCATGTGTATCTGTTTCTGTTGTATGTGTGTACGCATGTGTGTGTGATCATATGTCTGTGTGCATGTAAGTATGCATGTACATGTTTATGTAGGTGAATGTCTGTCTGTCTGTCTGTCTGTCTGTCTCTGTGCGTGTGGAACGAAGCCTTCCCATGCGCCTCACCCTTGGGACGACGTGAGGCTTACTGGCGCCGGGGGGCTTAACCCAAAAGCAGTTACGGTAGGTGTGTTCTGACCCTGCCTTCTACTAGGGGGTTTCAGACTCGCCTGCGTGCAGCTTGTGTCCTTTCACCGAGATTGGCCTTGCGACATGGGGTCCGCCGAGAGATTTATATCATTTGCACAGAAGGAGCAGCACCCTGCCCAGCTGCTGCAAGCGCTTCATGTGCAAGTGAGGCGATTGCCGCTGCTTACAGCATAAAGAGAAAATGAAAGAAAGAATCAAAAGAGAGACCGAGAGAGAAAGAACGGGATGGAAAAGAGAGGAAGCGCGAGAGAACTATACGTGGTTCTTCTATTTTGAAACTTCCGTCAACCGGTTTAGCCGGCTCCACTGGTACACGGCGAAAGTCACTCCCACAAACACGGAAAGAGTCCCGCCTCCCATGTTGCCGAAACACAAAGATGCCACTGGCAGGACACTGCAAGTGCTGAAGCTGAATTCTT